GCAGCTCTGGTGTTGGGATCTAGCAAGCCTCCCTGTGTGGTACTGCTCTGCTCTGCTCATCCTCAATAGATGGCTTCCAGCTGTGGTCTCAGACGGCCATGCCATTTTCCAGCAGCACCGCCATGCTCCAGCCTGTGGGGTAGGGTGAACAGGGACTGGAGGACAAGCCCATTCCCTCTAAAGGCTCAACCGAGAAGCCTCGTGCAACACTTCTGCTCCCATCCTATTGCCATAATGTAGTCACATGGCCACGTCGCCACAATGTAGTCACGTGGCACCACGTTGCCACCAGCGAGCCTGGGAAGTGTAGCCCTTAGCTGGGCAGCCGTGTGCCCTGATAACATTTGGGAATTTTAATACTAAAGGAAGAAAGGGAGAGTGAATATTCTGGGACAACAAGCAGACTCTGCCCAGGCAGTGACCATCCTAACCCGGGGAGGATGCAAATGCCTTCCCTACCACTGAATTAATTCACCATGTACGGAGCACGGACTCTGAGCCAGTCATTGCGCATGACACACAGGTTCTTCCTTCAGGCCTTGTCCTTACTGTCTAGAAGGGGCAGACAGATTGATCAACATCCAGGGTGCTCAGGGCTCCTGGGGCTGCTGGAGGTGGTTTGGGATGGGGCACCTGGAGGAGAAGTCCGCAGAGCTTGGAGGGTTAGTAGGTGTTTACCAAGTATCGGTGACCGGTGTCCTCAGGATGCCAGAGCATTCCAAAGGGGTGGCACATGTGACGCCCGGCCAGGACCTGTTTTCCATTGCTGAGGGCTGTGGATGTGTTCCAGTGGTGGGGGTGCTGAGTTGGGAGGTTGGGAGGGGGAAGTGTTAACATCTTGGTGCTACGATTCCAGCTTGATTCTCCAGTTTTTTACCCACACCATATTCCCCTTGGTTTCCTCCGCTTTCCTGGGCTCTGGGCTGTGGCTTTGGTTGTGCTGTTTCTTCAGCCTGGTTTGCCCTTCCCTCTGCTCTTTGCCAGCCCAGGTCCTACTCATTCTCTAAGGCCCAGCCAGGAGGTGTCGTCACTCTGGGCCATAGTTTTCCTGCTGAGAACTCAGTAGCTCTAGCCCACAGTCTGTAAATGGAATTGTGGCTCTGAGAGGGTAAGCCTTGTGTCCCCACAGCTAGAATAGGTATCCTGGGTCCTGATCTCCTGTGGTTTCCACAGCTAGAATAGGTAGCCAGGGTCCTGATCTCCCATTGTTTCTGCTCCCTGGCCTAGAGACTGCCCAAAGCAGCCATTTTCAGATGCAGGGTCCCTGTGGCAGGGAGGCGAGGAGGGGTGGGGTGGCCGGGAGGGGCCAGGAGAAAGGACAGAGGGACCCTCTGTTCAGGTTGAAAGAGGTGCTTTCTTGTAATTGCCTCCCTGAATCAATGAGGTTAAATCATTGGACCAAAGTCACTGAGTGACAAACTTGTATTTAAATCTAGGACTCTGAATCCCAAGTTCTATTTTATTTTATAGAATTTAAAAATATACAGAAAAGAAGTTCAACATAGACGGATAATCTTACCACGCAGAAATAACTGCTATTAATATCCTGGCATATATACTTCCAGTTTTTAAAGAAGAATTTCTTTTTTTTTTCCTAAAAGTGACATAAAAGGACTTTGCTCAATGCAAAGAATTTAAACTACAAAGATGAGAATTTACAAATTACCTCAAATCCTATCATTCAGAAATTCCTATTGTTTACACTAAGTGATAATCATTTTAGGCATCTTTGTAGGGACATAGACAGATATAAAGGTAGATATTTAGACATACTTCTATAAACAGTGATGATATTCCTGCCCAGTATCATAGCCACTAGCTACCTGTAGCTATTGACCACTTGAAATGTGGCTGGTTAGAGTCAACATGTGCTGTGAGTGTAAAATACACACAAGATTTGGAAAACTTAATATGAAAAAGGAATGCAAGAACTCATTAATATTTTTTAAATACTGATTGCATGTTGACCTGATAGTATTTTGGTTAAATAAAACATATTGTTTAAATTAATTCCATTTTTTTTTAAACTGTAGAGACGGGGTCTCACTATGTTGCCCAGGCTGGTCTCAAACTCCTGGGCTCAAGTGATCTGCCTGCCTAGGCCTCCTAAAGTGTTGAGATTACAGGCAGGAGCCACCGAGCCTGGCCTTCTTTTCCTTCTTTAATATGGCTATTAGAATTTTTAAATTAAGGCTGGGCGCAGTGGCTCATGCCTGTAATTCCAGTACTTTGGGAGGCTGAGGCTGGCAGATCACCCGAGATTAGGAGTTCAAGACCAGCCTGGACAACATGGAGAAACCCCGTTTCTACTAAAAATACAAAAATTAGCCTGGCATGGTGGCGAGTTCCTGTAATCCCAGCTACTCGGGGGGAGGCCGAGGCAGGAGAATCATTTGAACCCAGGAGGCGAAGGTTGCAGTGAGCTAAGATTGCACCATTGTACTCCATCTGGGCGACAAGAGCAAAACTCTGTCTCAAACAAAACAAAACAAAACAAAACAAAAAAGTTTCAGAATTACATATGTGACTTGCATATATTTCTATTGAACAGCACTGCTCTATTATAGTAAGTATTAATAAGTTTATTAATACATATTAATGGGAAAATAGAAACTAAAATGAATTTTAAAAAATTTTTGAGCTGTAAATAAATGGTTCCTCATTATTTCCTGAGAGTTCACTAAAATTTAAAAATAGAGATTTTTGAAAGATAAAGGCATGGCACTCTGAAGCTCCTCCCAACCCTGACATATGATTGTTTTTGCAGTGCATTGTTTTTTGACACTTCATATTCTGTTCTGAGGCTCTAATTCTGGAGGGCATTTAGCATTCTGTAAGAAACACTCAGGCCTTTGCCTACATGTCCTTTGTTCCTGAGTCCTGGGTGTCGTTATGAGCTGGGTTTCATTTCTTGAGAAGGGCCCATGTGTCTGGGAGGAGGCTGCTTGCAGCCTTTGTGCCTGGCTGGTGTCTGGACCGGCCCCATGCACTGGGGTTGCACTTTCTACCCCGGTGTACCCTGTAGGCACTGCTTCACTGTCTTCCGGTGTTGGATGCTGGTGTGGCCCTGCCTGATTTCCTCTTTTTTTTTTAGTCAGAGTCTTGCTCTGTCACCCAGGCTGGAGTGCAGGGACGTGATCTTGGCTCACTGCAACCTCCACTCCGGGTTTAAGTGATTCTCTTGCCTCAGACTCCCTAGTAGCTGGGATTACAGTCACATACCACCATGCCTGGCTATTTTTTTTTTTTTTTTTTGTATTTTTAGTAGAAACAGGGTTTCACCATATTGGCTAGGCTGGTCTCAAACTCCTGACCCCTGGTGATCCACCTGCCTCAGCCTCCCAAAGTGTTGGGATTACAGGTATGAGCCACTGCACCCTACCAGATTTCCTTTTTGTTCTTGGACATCTAATGAATTCTTGAGTTCAGTAACTGAACTCAGCCCTGTTTAAGTGTTACTTGGCTCCTCCCAGGACTGTAGGTCTCATCTCTAAAAAGTTATTTTAGGGTTCCCAGTACATAGAGCACTGCTAACACCTATGGATTCAGCAGTTTTGGGCTGACTGCTGAGAGCATGTTCAAAAGGCTTTTGTTTTAGCTCTTGGCCTTTGGTGGGCTGACCACCCAGAATCTTAGGGGGTCCTCAGTGATGACTTTTTGAATTAATTTTAGATTGCATCTATAATAAGCAAATCTATTCTTGTTTTTAGGACCAGGATGTTAAAGACAAAGCTAAAGTCAATTTTTTGCCACCAACCCCGTGGAGGTCCCTCCCCAGCACCCCAGCTGTAACTACTGTCATGGGGTCAAGATATGTCCTTCCAGACCTTTGAAAACTGATTTTATGTTTCAATATAATTATGTTCTGTCCCATCCCAGAAAAATAGACCATGTTTAGGCCAGTCTGAGTTATTCTGGGTTTATTCAGAACAGTCTGGGGGGTGGGTGTGGATTCCAAAGAGCTGCTCCTGGAGTTAGCTTTTCATTTGAATTAAGCCAGTATAGACATCAACAAGTTATAACCATAAGTAGTGTGGTCTCCGGAGTAAAAGCTTCATGCAGGCATTCCCAGATATCTGTATAGCTTTGACTTTTAGACAGAAACAGACTAACTCTCTTATTCTGCAGGAATATAGATTTGCATTTCAGGTCATTTTGACATAGACTCATTTGATGATCTGGCTGTACAGACATTCTACCAGCTCCACAGGAGACAACAGAAGAGCTTGGGGATTTCATTGCGCCACTCTTGAAAATACATAACACTGGTGTGTGTGTGTGTGTGTGTGTGTGTGTGTGTGTGTGCTTTGAGATGGAGTCTCACTCTGTCACCCAGGCTGGAGTGCAATGGCACCTTCTCAACTCACTGCAACCTGTGCCCCCCGGGTTCAAGTGATTCTCCCACCTCAACCTCCCGAATAGCTGGGACTACAGATATGTACCACTACACCTAGCTAATAAAACATTTACACCTAGCTAAATAATGTAAATATGTACACCTAGATAAATACAGATATGTACCACTTTTTGTATTTTTAGTAGAGGTGGCGTTTCATCATGTTGGCCAGGCTGGTCTCGAATTCCTGACCTCATGATCCGCCTGCCTTGGCCTCCCAAAGTGCTGAGATTACAGGCATGAGCCACCATGCCTGACCTTGTATGTGTTTTATAAAGATTATACCGAATACATCATAAGACACCTTTGTTTTTTTCCTACTGAACTTGAACTCTCTCCATGTTGATATGTATCTACTGCCAAAGAAATGACTGAGTACTTGAGCCAACACCTGCGTGAGTACATGCTACTGGGACATTTTTTAAATGAACTAAATTCACTATGAAGTGGTGCCCGCCTAGACCCTGTGAAGGCTATGACGTTCCGGAAGTACCTTGCTGGGGGCCTGGAGCCTCGGGGTCTGGTGGTTCTGGGGTCCCACGGTGGGGGTTCCACTTGCAAGCCATTCCTTCCTCCCATCTGGCTTCTCATTTTGTTTTTGTAGATGACATGGCAGAACTTCTTCTCGGGGAATCAAAGCTGGAGCAGTACCTGAAGGAACACCCGCTGAGGCAGGGGGCCAGTCCCCGGGGCCCCAAGCCCCAGCTGACTGAGGTCCGCAAGCATCTGACCGCCGCCCTGGACCGAGGGAACCTTAAGGTACGGTGGGCCTCTGGACAGTGTGTGGTTTAGAAGGGTGCTCAGGGTCAAGCCGGATGACATTTGAGGCTCACCTGCACACTGGCATGGCTTGTCTTCTTAGAAGCAGGCCAGCTCCCTGTTGGGTGGATGCATCAATCTCTAGGCGGGCTGACCACTTCTGGGGCTTCTGGCCCAATAGGATCTCTCTGATGAGAGTCTTCATGACACGCCATCCTGCACAATGCCACTTATCTCTCAGATGCTTGAATTGAAGCTCTCCGATATAACCCAGACCTTAACCTGACATGTTAACCAGTTCCAGAAAAGAGAGGAGTTCATCAGAAGGGGTACTCAACACACAGTTTCCTGCTCATGAATGTAACAGGCCACTGTGGTCCAGAGCTATGGGGGGTTCCAAACTGGTGCCAGCAGGCCTGGTGTCACATTTGGGAGGGGGCCAGGAACTTCCCTGCACCTGAGCAAGGACCCTCATCCTCTGGCACAGGGAATCTTAGGCGATGCCCCCTATCTGTCCATTCTATTTTCTGGTCTTCTTATACCCAGGTTTCCTTTCCATCTCATGTGGCTTTCCTTCTTTTCTTCTTGGGACTCCCCATTCAGTTCCTTCTGCTTTTCATGGGGGTCATCTCTTCCAACCCTGCCCTTCTGCACCGCCCCCCCCGGTAGCCCCCAGGTCCCCTGGCTCCAGATGCTTCCCCTAGTTCAGATGGCTATCTGCAGCCTCCTCCATCCTGCCTGTCTTCCCCAGGACCCCCCTTCTTATTTCCCCAGGATGTATTTCCCACTGAGGACAGTCTTTGGTGAACTTCTGGAGCTCTGACTTCTGTTTCCTTTTAAGTTTGATGATGTCTTTTTCATTTTTCTTCTCTTCCTGTCTCAGAATCCTCTGGGGCTCTGTTTTTGGTCTTTATTCTTGTCTGCGTGTGCACGCTTCCCCCTGGGAAGCCATGTTTTCCTTGGGTTTACCTTTCATATCTGTACTGCAAACTCGAGCCTGCTCCTGACTTGCTGAGTGACCCTGGGGAGGTTACTCGCCTCCCTGAAGTTTCTGTAGGTTCGAATGGGATGGGCTCTTAGAGGGGTGAGCTCGGACCTTCCAGGCTCCTGCATGCTCTAAGCCTGTGAGCTTTCATTTTGAGCTGTTTCTCTTTTGGTCGTCTGGCACCTCCTCGGCCCTGTTGCAACAGAGGGCTTGGGCAACCTTTAAGTAAGTTAGGTGTTGGTCAGTGGTGCAGCCACAGGCTTCTGGAAACCCTGATAGAGAGCTGCTTTCAAAATGGTCTCTGTGTATGTTGTCTGCATGGGACACAGCTCCAGTCCCCTAGAAGGTGGCTGGAGAGCGTCACCTCTACGTAGGGACCCCACCCCAGGCCCCTAGGGGGTGGCTGGTGAGGTCAAAAATGCAAAAACATAAAGCCCCTCATAGGGAGCCCAGGTGCCTAAGGACTTCCTGTGGCATTTGGGCTTCAAAAGCCAGGTCTCTTTCCCCGATCAGTTTCTCTGTCAGTGCCATGCCACACTTTGGTGTGTGGCAGATCACTCGAGGCCGGGAGTTTAACACCAGCCTGGCCTGTCATATGTTCTGAACATATGACATGGTGATGAGATGATGACACAGGTGGACACAGGGGTAGGTCTTGATCTGGGGACACAGGTGGCAGGTCTTGATTAGCAGGAGAGGGTGGAGGGACGGCAGGCAAGTGGGCCACAGCTCACAGTGATGGCTAGCCAGACTCAAGTGTGCGTCTGCCAGGAGGTGTGGGGGGAGATATCTGGCTCGTTTCTTTCCCCTGTCCACCTTCCACAACTTCATCTTGAAAAATTCCCCTTTCATTTCACCAGGTGCTGATAGGTTTTGCTTTCTATCCTCTACAATGCAGTGTGGTAGTAAGCACATGAATTTATTTATTTATTTATTTTGAGACAGAGTGTTGCTCTGTTGCCCAGGCTGGAGTGCCGGAGTGCCATCTCGGCTCACTGCAACCACCACCTCCCAGGTTCAAGCAATTCTCCTGCCTCAGCCTTCTGAGGAGCTGTGGCTACAGGCACCTGCCACCACACCTAGCTAATTTTTGTATTTTTAGTAGAGATGGGGTTTCACCATGTTGGCCAGGCTGGTCTCTAAATCCTGACCTCAGGTGATCCATCCGCCTTGGCCTCCCAAAGTGCTGGGATTACAGGCGTGCGCCACCGAACCCAGCCATTGAATTTAATTCAAATTAAAATGCTTCGGTTTGAGTCCACTTCTGGATTTATAAGCTGTGTGATCTTGAGAAATTACTTTACCTCTCTGAGCGCCATGTTTCTCAGCTACAGGCCTACTTAGCCCAGGATTGTCTTGAGGCTCAGATGGAGAAATTCTTTCAAAGCTGTGTAGCACTGGATACACATAATTTCTTGCTGTGTTATTGGTTCTACCTGGAGAGTTTTTCTCCCATTGCTGTTTTTCAGCTTCCTCCGTCTTATAAAGAATGTTCCGAAGCCGCACATCTTTTGCATGGGTGTGCTGTCCCGCTCACTTCGGCTGATGTGAAACTTTCTCTTTCCTTGAGCTTAAGTCCAGCTTGTCTTGAGTGAACTGAGGCTGGGAAGACCAGAGCCAGCCAGCCATGTAGTGGGATGGAAAGAGTCCTGGACTAGGAGTTTGGACATCTGGCTTCTGATTCAAGGAAAGGAAATGGTCCTTATTGTGAGCAAGGTGGCCCCCAGCACGGTGTTGGGCTGTTGTCCCACACCCAGACAGTCAAGGCACCCTGGCCAACCTGTTTCCTGTGCTTCCGTGCAGACCAGACTCATCCAGCGAGGCCTTCCCAGTGTGTCCAAACTGTGCCTCTAGGCCTGCAATTTTCTTCAAGCTTTTTCTCCACCTGCCTCTTTGGTTTGCTTTTATTAACTGTTTTTTTTTCCCTTTGGTAAAATATACGTAACATACAACCTAACATTATAGCTCTTTGTAAGTGTACAGTATAGTGGCATTAAGTACATTATCATTGTCGCTCAGCTGTCAGCACTCTCCATCTCCAGGACTCTTTGCATCTCCCCAAACGGAACCTCTTGTGATGTGTCCATTAATGCTAACTCCTCATTCCCCCTCCTCCTTTAGTTTGCCTTTAATCCAATGGTTCTCAGATGCTAGACGCTTGGGGAAGGAGGGATGACTTCTCAGAATGTCCTAGGAAATGTTTTCAAAATACCCAAGCCTGGCCTGTCCCTAACCTGGGTGGAGAACCCCTGTGTTTGATGCTTTTATTTTTTTTGAGATAGAATCTCGCTCTGTTGCCCAGGCTGGAGTGCAGTGGCATCAATTCTTGTGCCTCAGCCTCCTGAGTAGCTGGGATTACAGGTGCCTGCTACCATGCCCCGCTAATTTTTGTATTTTTAGTAGAGATGGGGTTTGCCATGTTGCCAGGCTGGTCACGAACTTCTGGCATCAAGTGATCTGCCTGCCCCAGCCTCCCAAAGTGCTGGGATTACAGGTGTGAGCCACCGTACCTGGCCTGGATGCTTTTTTCTCTTTTCTAAGTCTGCATTGATTTCTCTGTCTCCAGACGTAATTCAGATTCCTCTGGCACATCTCCCTTGGGCCACCCATAAACGCTTTTGCTCCCATCAGCCCTCCTTGTCCACTCTGCCATCCTCTCCAGTGCTGCCCGATGTCCCTGCTCTCTTCCAAGAAATGCATGGAAGCCGACGACCTTGGCTGAGATAGCTGTTGTAACATGCGTACCTGGCTTCCTGCGCCATGCGGTCCACCCATCAAAGCTCTAGGTTACAGCATAAATAGTGCAGTTTCATGGTGTGCTTCTGTAAGCAAAAAAACAGCTTTGAACAGCTTGGGCTCTCAAGAGAAGGTCTGGCCAAGGAAGATAAACCTGTTTCCTAATATAGGTGGCAGGGTGGCGTGTTCTCTCCCTAGGTGCTGGGGGACGGGTCAGTGAGGAGGGCATGATGAGGCTTTGGGGAATGGGGGACTGGCCAGGCCAGCCTCGATGACTGGGAGGAAGGGGGGCCCACAGAGAACTTCCAGCCCTCAGCCTCTGGGGAGGGGACCAGGCCACCTCAGTTTACAAACTTCAGTGGCTCAGTGAGAAACTTCATACTGGAAAACAAGCAAGTCCTGATCTTCGCATCCATTTAGGAAGGCTCTCCTTGATGATTTGGGTTACAGTGTTGTGGTGCATCTCTGGTGTCATGGCAGGACCCACCGGGATGTCTGGGCAGCTTCCTCTTCTGAGTCAGGTACTTGTATGTTGAACTTATGAAGCATCCCAGCTGGCCCAGCCCAGCCCAGCCATGGGCCTGAGGGGAGCCGCAGAGTTTTTATTTTGATTTGGTTTTTGCAACAGCTTTATCGAAATGTAATTCACATGCCATAGAATTCACCCATTCAGAGTGTCCAATTCAGTGATTTTTAGTATATTCATGAAGTGAGCAACCATCAGCACAATCAATTCCAGAACATTTTTATCACCTCCCAAAGAAACCCCATAACCAGTAGCACCACCTCCCATTCCTAGCCAAGGCTAATCTGTTGTTTTCTGACTCCAGACTTGACTATCCTGGACATTTCATACACAGGGAAGCATACAATATGTGGCCTCTTGTGACTGGCTTTTTCACTTGGCATCACATTTTTGGAGTTCATCTATGTGTTAACACATAGCAGTATGTCATTCTTTACTACAACTGAGTAATATTCCATTTTATGGCCAGCCCACATTTTGATGGACATTTGGGTTGTTTCCACTATTTCGCTGTGGAATAATACTGCTCAGAATTATCCAGTTGTGGATAATACTGGTCAGAGCATTCACGTCCAAGCAGTTGCGTGGGGAGCTGTGGGGTTTTAGGGCAACAGCTCGCCGGGCTCTGAGGTATCATACCTAAAATTGTAGGAAAATGCTTTTCTTTCTCTCCTTTTCCTTCTAGTCAGAATTCCTACAAGAATCCAATTTGATCATGGCCAAGTTGAATTATGTGGAAGGTGATTATAAAGAAGCTCTGAACATTTATGCCCGGGTGGGCCTGGACGACCTGCCGCTGACAGCTGCCCCCCCCTACAGGCTGCGGGTGATCGCAGAAGCCTACGCTACCAAAGGTGAGGCCCCTGCCTTCTCCCCCGAGTGTCCTGTGCCCTGGAGCCAGCAGCGCCTCCTGGGAGCTGCCTGTTTGACCCCTGGCCCTTGGCTGGTGACGAATTTGACAGTTCCCAGCAAAGCTGCTGGGGCCACCCCCCTGCAGGTGCTGGGTCATGTTAAGCCAAGCAGGGCTTTGTTCCTCTGAGCCAGTGGCCATCAGCTGTCCCTGAAGGGGATGAAGGAAAAACATTTCAGCAAAGTTTCTTGACAAGTAACATGCAACTTCAGCGGGGACCTTTCTTGGTAATTCAAATTCTGTGCAGCATCTATAGGGATTCGAATCATGTTGTCAGTTGGTCACATGGCCAATGGTGTTTTTATTCATTAATGCCGCCTCTGGGTTAATGAAGGCTAATGGATTGACATGCAGCAATCACTAGCAATCAGTCTTCTCTTGGTTAACTCTGCACCTATTCAGGGACTAGAAGAACGTGTAAATATCTCACTGCCATGAAGCAGTTTGCACTCTAGTGCGAGAGAATGCAATCTCATGAGAAGAAAACGTCTGGAAGCACAGGACACACGGACGATTGGACCATTCCCAGCCGCCGCTTCCTCAGTCTGTCACCGGCATAATCACGCCCACTTCAAGGGGCTCTTAGCAGGATTAAGTCAAATAATGTATGTAAAGCATTTAGCGTAGTTCCTGGCACATTCTAAATGCTGCATAGAAATTTTAAAATCTCAACCCCAAACAGGGCAGCAAATGGTACAAGCTAGGGATGGGTAATAGGGAGAGGTCACTACAGGCCAGCAGGGCCAGGAAGGCTTCCTAGAGGAAAAGGGACACTTTGAATGGGACTTGTTAAGGCCACAGCAAGAAGTGGATTATCTGGAGTGGCTCCTGTCCTTCAGCCGTCTGCTGTTCAAACCGTGTCCGGTGACTGACTGTGGCTGGCAGAGGCCAGGGCGCTAGGTGGCTTGCCCCTGCAGAACAGTTGTGAGCTGGCCATTGTGTGCTGGCCGTGCTTTCTGGCTGAGATGTGGGGGCTACAGGTGGTTCAGCCTGTTTGACTCAGTTGTCCTATGCAGCGCTGAACAAAGACCCAGCCCACGGCACACTTCTTAAGAGCTTTGTGATGGGGATGATGTATTCACCCAGTTCCCTGGGGACCCTTGAGTACTGCCAGGTTCATCTCATTAATCTTCTAAACGCCCCCGTGGGCTAGGAAAAAATGCCATTGCTTTTGACAGGGCACTCTGGAGGTTTAATGGGCACGCTCCTTTGAGGCTGCCTCTGGGGTCTTGGCAGCATTTGGCTTTTGTTTGCATCTGGCTGAGCTATCGGGATTGCTGGGGTCTGTGCCACACGGCCACGCTCTTCTCTCCCTGGTGCTTTACCCAGCGACCTCACATGCCTCAGGAGCTGTGTGTTTGTGTGTGGCCAGCAACAGTATTCTGGAAGGAGAGCAAAACGTCATCTAGCAATTTCCACCTGCCCAGTTGCCCTGGGGCCTGGTGGGGTTGTACCAGGAGTTGGCTTGCTAGGTGGTGGTGGGAGGTGGCTTTGGGGCCTGTCCAGAGCCCACATCCTAGGATTGGTTCTGAGATAGTTAAATGGAGACAGGCTGTCTACAGGTGGCACTGCCAGCTCAGTCTTGTGGCTGCCATGAAAGGTGGGCAAGGAGGACAGGCGACTTGGTCCCTGAGCCTGGCCCTGGGTGATATGTGGTCAGCAGTGGGCCCCCTACCCATGAGGTTGTGGCATTGGCTCTTGGGACACCTGCTGGCTCACGGGAGATCTGGCTCTGACTAGTTTCTGACTTCTGTGAGTACGGGTAGAGTCACATGTGTGCTGGGAGAGGGAAGGGTCACTTCTGCCTAGAGGAAGTGGCTGGCATTCTGGGGGCTCCAGGCCCCGGAGAGCCTGCTGGGCAGGTGAGAGGCAGTGGAGAGGGATGGTTATGGGCACCGGCCCTGACCATCTCCCTGGGTCCTACTCTTTGTCTGTCACATACTGGCTCTGGGGCCTTGTGCAGGTTCCTTAGCCTCTCTCTGTCCCCGTTTCCCCGCCCATCAAGCTCTCATGGGCTGGTCACGAGGACACATGAGATAGAACACACAACATGCTTCCACAGTGCCGGCACATAGTGAGCCGATGGCAATGTCAGCTGAAGAGCCGAGTGTTGGGTGGGGCATGGGGGACTAGAAGTGACTTGTACTAACAGGGTAGTTGCCGGCCAGATTCATGGAGATGCCCAGAGACAGGCCCATTCTCTGAGGAGTTCAAGAGGCCCTCGGTCCTAGCTCTGTGTAGGAATATTCTTGGCTTTTCTTTCTTCACCAAGGTCCCTAAGAATTTTAAGGGGAGGCTGCTGCCAGCGGTTTATCTGAATGTTGGTCCCTCCCCATGCTCTCTGCACACTGCTCTAGGCAGTGGGATTGACCTGCATACTTTCTTTGTCACCTCAACTTTTCCCTGGTGACCTGAGGTCTGAGTTGATCAGGGCTTTCAGATAGAGTCCCTCCTTCTGCCAGGCAACGTTAGCCTTTGCTGATTGGGAACTGGAAGGCTGCACCATTCAGCTCTCAGAACCTCCTGTGGGCCAGCACCGTGTTAGGGGATACCCTGTCTCTAACTCTCCAAACCCTGAATTTACAGAAGAGAGAAATGAGGCGAGGTGAGGCTATGCGGAAGTGCAGCAGTGGCCGCGGGGTATTGAGAGATTCCTGCACGCCAGGTGTGATGCCCTTTATCCTAGTATCTCATTCCCTGTTTTTCTTTTCTTTCTTTCTTTTTTTTTTTTTTATTCCCTGTTTTTCTTTTCTTTCTTTCTTTTTTTTTTTTTTTAGATGGAGTGTTGCTCTGTCGCCCAGGCTGGAGTGCAATGATACAATCTCGGCTCAGTGCAACCTCTGCCTCCTGGGTTCAAGTGATTCTCCTGCCTCAGCCTCCCAAGTAGCTGGGATTATAGGCGTGTGCCATCACACCTGGCTAATTTTTGTATCTTCTCAGAGACAGGGTTTCACCATGTTGGCCAGGCTGGTCTTGAACTCCTTATCTTAGGTGATCCGCCCAGTTCGGCCTCCCAAAGTTTTGGGATTACAGCTGTGAGCCACTGCACTTGGCCTTCATTCAGTCTTTATTATGAGGTAAACACCATTATTCTTTCCATTTTACAGAAGAGAAACCTGGGGCACAGGGAGGTTAGGTAAACCTACCCAGGGTCCTACAGCTAGGAAGTGGTCGAGCCAGGACTTGACCTCAGAGACTGGCTCCAGGGCCCTTGTTCTCCTCTGAGTGGCAGAAGGGAATCTCGTCTGACTGGTGAAGGGGGTCTCAGTCTGACGCCATGTTCCTAAATGCTCTTCTATATTGGCACATGGACTGGAACTTGCTTGGGCCAGGTGAGGTTTCTTTGAGAAGAAAACATTCAGGCCGCTCGAGAATGCCCTAGACTTGCACTCCCGCCCTTGCTTCCTCTACCTTAATGCCTCACCCTTGCTCGGTTCCCTCCTGCAAGTTCTGTCCTTCAAGCTTATATTGCTGGCTTCTCTGAAGCCTCCTGGGACTCACCCATTCAGTCAATCATATTCGATGTTGTCATAGCACAGTACATTAGGACAGAATCGTGAGAAACACCTGGAGCTGTATGCATGCCCACTGAAGGCGTTCTTCCTTTGCCAATCTAGCATTCCTAGAGGAAGGTCATATACTGTTACACGTCGCCATTTTGCCTCTCGGTGCACATGCTTGAGCGCACTCCCCCAATTCCTGAGAACTTGTTGGGAAGCTGCTGATCACCAGTTTCGAGTTTCTTCTATCTATTGGGAGACTGCCTTTTCCTGATGCGGGCTGCTACCAATTATTATTTTAGAGGAACAGCTAACAACTGCCTGACCATCACCTGTTGGTCACCTGACGTTCCTTGTGTGTGTGTGTGTCAGGGGGAGCCCTCTCCTGCCCTGCTCGTGCCTGCCTGGCTGGCTTCTGTAACAGGGCTACTTGCTTTCTCAGCATTCTCTGTGGCTTTCTTTTCTATGTACCTAGATGAAAGTAAGCACCTGTCTTTGCTTTATAAACGGAAACATAATTAATAGAAGAGACAAAGTGAACAGTTCCCTTTTTATTAAAATAAAATTTTAAAGCTGAAAATTTTTAAATTTAAAATTTAAAAACTGGGGCCTGGAGACAGCAGGGGAATTAACTTCCTTTCCGGATTGCACGGCACGAAGCAGAGGACTGGAGAGTAAATGGGGCCTGCACAGTCCTCCTCCATGCAGACATTTTATTTCCCAGTATGGGACTGTACCGAAGAGGAGAAGGGACTTGCCCTATGTCATACAGTCCAGGGCAGGACCACGACGTGGAGATGTTTCTTGGTAGGAAGCTTTTCTGTCAAGCCGAGTGACCTCTGTGCCCAGGTGGGGAAGGTGGCACCGTGTCGGGCGCTTTACAGAGTTCCTTTACCTTCTCCGTTCCTCCCTGCTCCTGGGGTGGAAGTTGCTCTTCTGACACAGTGGCTAAGAGCATGGGGCTTTGGGGTCAGACTGTCCAGGTTTGACCTCTGGCTTTGTCACTTACTAGTTAAAACGTTTTGGGCAGATTATTTTCACCCCACTGGGTCTGTTTTCTCATCTGCAAATGGAGATAATAATATCTACCTTACAGGGTTTTTGCAGGGAATGGTGAAGACATGTAAAGCACTTAGCACCCGGGCAGATCAACAAATGGGTTATTTTTATTCTTACGTATCCCTTGGGTTTGACCACAATTGGATAGGCCCCTTCAGATGGCCAGGTAGCAACATCTGGTTATGGGGAGGGAGAGGCCGCTTTCTTCTGTGAACACATTGGTGCCTTCGTGGGTCTGCTTTGTCAGGCAGAGGGTTTGGCCATCAAGAAATGGGACCTGGGATCCATACATTTAAGGCGGAGGAATCTTTAGGGGAAGATCAAATGAAGATCAGAGGCCTGGAGCATGGTTTAGGGAAGGGAAAGTTGTCGCTGGTGCTGGAGG